ATATATTTTATATATTTTACATATATTACTTACAAACAAATTCACATATATTAAAAATATGACAATTTGTATTTAATAATAAAATATTAGCTGAAGAATAAGAAAAAAGTGTAAAATAATTTATGAAACAGTTTTTTTATATTAAAATATTTCATTTGGCAGAATCTCGTACCAACATTTATTACAAGGGTAAGAAAAATTGCCAAAAATCTTACAAGTTCATAAAATAAATATATATTTCCTTTTTTTTTGCGTAGGAGAGGAAAATCTTCGCATATAATTCACCCTACATGGGTGTATAACTGAAGTTAGTTAAAACCCCGTGAGAGGAAGACGCCCGGAATACGAGCCCCCGGGTGTACAGGATTCAATCAGAGTGTATCCACAAGGAAAGTTCCCTTAAAATAAATTATAAAATATATTATAATTTTTTAGAATTTTTAACAAATTTTACGTAAGCGACTAATAAACTCCCGCTGGTAACGAGTACGATACTGACGCTGCGTCCGACGCCCATGCGCCAGAAACGCGATGTGTGTGAAGTTAGCCCCCCTTTTTTTGAAAATTAAAATTTTGACAATTGTTCCAGATTGTTCTAAGTTTGTTCTACATTGTTCCAAAGCGATATCATCTTATTCCAAATCGTTCTCCAATAAAAGGAAAAAACGAATTTTTTTTGCTAGCACCCATTTCTTGGAATATCAAACAATTTTTTTTGCTACAGATTGTTCTAATTCTAAATATTGTTCCAAAAGAACAATTCCATATGACGAACAGAAATGGCAGAAAACAAAAAAACATTTTCTTATCCGGCACCCCTTTTCTTAATATTCGAAAAATTCATTATCGCGATAAATTGTTCTAGTTGTTCCAAATATTGTTCCAAAAGAACAATTTCATAAAACAAACAGAAAACGAGAAAAATAAAAAAATTAACGTTTTTCGATAAACGAAGGCTCCGACAAAAAGAAAAGGTACAATCTCCTTATCCCAACGCAGAATTTTATATTTTCAGTTGTTCTAGTCCTGAGAAACATAATTCTGCATTATGAATCATCCAACGCTACTGGTTCTCCCAAAAATCGAAAAAAGTCCATATTTTTGCATCCACCATCAAGAGTAAACGCGCGCTTTCTCCAACTCAGAACAAAAAGTTCTCGCCTGGAACAAGAGAGGAAGCGCGCGTTTACTCTTGATGGTGGATGCAAAAATATGGATTTTTTTCGATTTTTGAGAGAACCAGTAGAGTTGGATGATTCATAATGCAGAAATATGTTTCTCAGGACTAGAACAACTCAGAACAAAAAGTTCTCGACTGGAACAAGAGAGGAAGCGCGCGTTTACTCTTGATGGTGGATGCAAAAATACGGATTTTTTTCGATTTTTGGGAGAACCAGTAGCGTTGGATGATTCATAATGCAGAATTATGTTTCTCAGGACTAGAACAACTGAAAATATAAAATTCTGCGTTGGGATAAGGAGATTGTACCTTTTCTTTTTGTCGGAGCCTTTATTTGTTGAAAAATGTTTATTTTTTATTTTTCTCGTTTTCCGTTTGATTTATGAAATTGTTCTTTTGGAACAATGTTTGGAACAACTAGAACAATTTATCGCGATAATGAATTTTTCGAATATTAAGAAAATGGGTGCCGGATAAGAAAATGTTTTTTTTCTGCCATTTCTGTTCGTCATATGGAATTGTTCTTTTGGAACAATGCTTAGA